AGCAGGAGGAGGAGGAGGAGGTGGAGGAGGAGGAAAAGGAGGGGGAGGAGGTGGAGACAGAGAAATAGGAGGAGGACGAGGACGAGGAGGCGGAGGAGGAGGAGGAGCAAGAGGAGGAGTGGGAGGAGGTCGGGGAGTCTCCCACCCCCGCGCCTCTGCCGCAGGACCCCATTCGCCGGGGCGCCAGCGCCGCGCCGCTCTCCCTCGCTCCGCGCATCTCGCCCTTCGCCTGCCCCGTCAGTGTCGTCGCGCCTCCTCCCCAGCCCATCAATCCTCCCACTCCTCTCTTCCCGTTCCTTCCACCTCCCCTCCCCTCCTCCCTACCCCCCTCCCCTCCCTCCTCCCTCTCCCACACCCCTCCCCTCCTTCTCCCTTCCCCTCCCTCCGTCCCCTCCCTCCCTCCCTTCCTCTCTCTCCCCTGGTTCTCCTGCCTCCCCCTCGACCCCCCTCCACCCGCCACCCTGCTCACCTCTCCCTTCGTGGTCCTTGGCCCGTATCGGAACCCTCTCTCGCTCCCTCTTCGCCGTCTTCCTCGCGCTCGCGCGCGGGATGCCGCTGCCCGAAGAGCCTGAGTGAGGCGGGAGCGCCGCCTCCCCCCCCCCCCCCTCCGCGCCCTGCTGCTGCTGCTGCGTAGTCGTCGTCCGCCTCCTCGTCGTCGTCCCTGTCCTCGTTTCGAAGAGAAGAGAATTCGGCATAAGTATCCGTCGGTCGGAAGAAGCGGGTAGAACCGTGCAGTAGGCAGGCGTCTGAAGCAGATTGGGCTTCCGCCCGCCCCCCTGAAGAGGAGTGGAGAGGGAAGACCGCCCGACGTCCTGTTGAGGCTAGAGCAGATTGGGATCGGGGAGCCCCAGAAGCCCCTGCTTTCAACGGCCCGCGCGCGCAGCGTCCTCTGGCGCCAGACGGGGGTGGGGCGCGGACACCGCGGGGCGGGGGTGGGGCGCCGGAGGCCTGCCCCCCAGGGGGGGGGAACTCGAAGAAGAGGCAGCGCCAGCAGCAGAAGCTTTTGGCGCTCCGCGCGGATGGGCCCCCCTGGCGGGGGCCGCCGGGGGTGGCGGCGCCTCCGGCGCCGCCCCTGGCGCGCGGAGCGCGCCAGGGAGGAGAACCCAGCGCAAATCCAAGAAATCCGCGCGGAGCGCCAACATTGAGTGTGTGTGTGTGAATGTGAATGTGAATGTGAATGTGAATGTGAATGTGAATGTGAATGTGAATGCGTGCGTGCGTGCGTGTGTGTGTGTGTGTGTGTGGTTATGGCGTTGTTCTGTCAAGGGCGCAAACAAAAACGACCCCTACCCTGGTTTACGAGGCGCTGTGCGCTGAACTTTCTATGGGCTGACAGGATAGACCCTGCGCGACGTGCGGCGTCTTGGCGGTTTTCTAGGCTCTGGGACTTCCCGGGAGGTTTACAGACCGCGCATTTGTAACCCAGGGTAGGTTCGTTTTTTCATTCCCTTATTTTGTTCTTCTACAGGAAGGGGGGATCAGAGCCGATCCGAGAATTTTGCCGCGGGCCTCCGGATGGTTGTGCTCAGATCCGACGCGGGAATTTACACATGACCACCGCCTGGAGGGTCAGTTTTCGGAGCCTCGGCAGGCGGTGGATATGGACATCATCGGGCCCCCGGGGGCCAAATTAGCCTGACGAAGGACCCAACCATGTGCAGGTGTGAATACCGCAGTTGACACTACCAATTTCGGTGGAGCTCCCTATAGGGCCACGAAGCGTGTGAAGGGGAAGGGTGTGCGGGACGCATGCGGGCGGCAGCACTGGGGCCTTCGGTGGAGTTCCCTATGGGGCCACGAAACGTGTGAGGGAGTTGACGAAATGGGTGCGGCTGACGCATGCGGGCGCGGGCACTGGGGCCTTCGGTGGAGCTCCCTATGGGACCACGAAACGTTTGAGGGGTGTGCCGAAATGGGTGTGGCTGACGCATGCGGGCGCGGGCATTGGGGCCTTCGCTGGAGCTCCCTATGGGGCCACGAAACGTGTGAGGGGTGTGCCGGCATGGGTGCGGTGGGCGCATGGGAGCGCAGCCACTGGGGCCTTCGCTGGAGCTCCCCATGGGACCACGAAGCGTGTGATGGGTGTGCCGAAATGGGTGCGGTGGGCGCATGGGAGCGCAGCCACTGGGGCCTTCGCTGGAGCTCCCTATGGGGCCTACGAAACGGTGAGGGGTGTGCACATTGTGGCTGTGGGCGCGCATGAAGACGGCGCCACTGGGGCCTTCGCTGGAGCTCCCTATGGGGCCACGAAGCGTGTGAGGGGTGTGCCGAAATGAGTGCGGTGGGCGCATGGGAGCGCAGCCACTGGGGCCTTCGCTGGAGCTCCCTATGGGGCCACGAAGCGTGTGAGGGGTGTGCCGAAATGGGTGCGGTGGGCGCATGGGAGCGCAGCCACTGGGGCCTTCGATGGCGCTCCCTATGGGGCCACGAAGCGTGTGAGGGGTGTGCAGAAATGGGTGCGGCGGGCGCATGGGGGCGCAGCCACTGGGGCCTTCGCTGGAGCTCCCTATAGGGTCCAACGAAACGGTGAAGTGTGTGGCAGAAATGGGTGCGGCGGGGCGCATGGTAGCGCAGCCGACTGGGCCGTTCGGTGGAAGCTATCCTATGTGGGCCACGGAAACTTGTTGAGGAGGTGTGCACGAAATGGGCGCGTTGGCGCATGGGAGCGCAGCACTGGGGCCCGAATTCGTGGAGGCCTCCCCTCTTGGGCCCGAAAACGTGTGGGGATGTGCCGAATCTGTGCGTGGGCGCATGGTAGCGCAAGCCATTGGGGCCTTCGCTGGAGCTCCCTATGGGGCCACGAAACGTGTGAGGGGTGTGCCGAAATGGCCTTCGGTGGAGCTCCCTAAGGGGCCACGAAACGTGTGACGGGTGTGCCGAAATCTGTGCGGTGGGCGCATGGGAGCGCAGCCACTGGGGCCTTCGCTGGAGCTCCCTATGGGGCCACGAAACGTGTGAGGGGTGTGCCGGAATGGGCGCGGTGGGCGCATGGGGGCGCAGCCACTGGGGCCTTCGCTGGAGCTCCCCATGGGACCACGAAGCGTGTGATGGGTGTGCCGAAATCTGCGCGGTGGGCGCATGGGAGCGCAGCCACTGGGGCCTTCGCTGGAGCTCCTTATGGTGCCACGAAACGTGTGAGGGGTGTGCAGAAATGGGCGCGATGGGCGCATGGGAGCGCAGCCACTGGGGCCTTCGCTGGAGCTCCCTATGGGGCCACGAAACGTGTGAGGGGTGTGCCGAAATCTGTGCGGTGGGCGCATGGGAGCGCAGCCACGGGGGCCTTCGGTTGAGCTCCCTATGGGGCCACGAAACGTGTGAGGGGTGTGCCGAAATCTGTGCGGTGGGCGCATGGGAGCGCAGCCACTGGGGCCTTCGGTGGAGCTCCCTATGGAGCCACGAAACGGTGTACTGGGTGGGTGAAGAGGAGAGGAGGAGAGGATGATAGGAGGGGAGAGGAGGCGGAGGAGGAGAGGAGGAGAGGAGGAGACTCGATCGTTCTGTGGTGGGGGGGGGCCGGGGCCCCCCCACCGTCTCTTCAAAACGAGGACCCAACACCACAGGATGGTTGGGAAATATATCCAGATCCACCGCCCGCTGGGGCACCGGGGCGTCGGTTCCCAGGCGGTGGATCTGGATAAGTTCCCGCCTCGCATCAGAGTCGGGCCGCTGACGCAGGGACCCTTTTCGTGGGGGATGGGTTCCTCTTGGGGCGCCCGCGCAGCGCCGGAGCGAAGGGGGCTGGGGCCCATCGGGTCAAGTCGGGCATGTCCCTCCACAGGTGGAATTTCCAAACATACGTCGTAAAGCGTACGTTTTTGACATGTTCGTTTTTTTCCCAACCATCCTGTGGTGTTGGGTCCTCGTTTTGAAGAGACAGCGCCCCGCGTTCACTCCTCCCGCTGCCCCCTCCCTCCTGCCATCATCATCATCATCATCATCATCATCATCATCATCATCATCATCATCATCATCATCATCATCATCACCATCATGACGATCATAGGGAGCTCCAGCGAAGGCCCCAGTGGCTGCGCTCCCATGCGCCCGCCGCACCCATTTCGGCACACCCCTCACACGTTTCGTGGCCCCATGGGGAGCTCCAGCGAAGGCCCCAGTGGCTGCGCTCCCATGCGCCCCCCGCACCCATTTCGGCACACCCCTCACACGTTTCGTGGCCCCATCGGGAGCTCCAGCGAAGGCCCCAGTGGCTGCGCTCCCATGCGCCCACCGCAACCCATTTCGGACGGTCACCCCTCATACATATTCGTGGCCCCATAGGAGCTTCCAGCGAAGGCCCCGAGTGGCTGCGCTCCCCATGCCCGGGCGCCCCCGCGCAGATTTCGGCCGAGGCAAACTCCCCTCACGACGCTTCGTTGGCCCCATAGGGGCTCCATCGAACTGCCCCAGTGGCTGCGCTCCCATTGCGCCCACCGCAAAAACCATCTCTGCACACCCCCACACGTTTTCGTGCCCCATAGGGAGCTCCAGCGAAGGCCCCAGTGGCTGCGCTCCCATGCGCCCACCGCACCCATTTCGGCACACCCATCACACGTTTCGTGGCCCCATGGGGAACTCCAGCGAAGGCCCCAGTGGCTGCGCTCCCATGCGCCCACCGCGCTCATTTCGGCACACTCCTCACACGCTTCGTGGCCCCATAGGGAGCTCCAGCGAAGGCCCAGTGGCTGCGCTCCCATGCGCCCACCGCACAGATTTCGGCACACCCCTCACACGTTTCGTGGCCCCATAGGAAGCTCCACCGAAGGCCCCAGTGGCTGCGCTCCATGACACCACCGCACCCATTTCGGCACACCCCATTCACACGTTTCGTGGCCCCATAAGGGACTCCCAGGAGGGCCCCAGTTGCTGAGGCTCCGCAGATCGCCCACCGCACTCATTCGGCCAACTCACCCCTCACACGTTTCGTGGCCCCATAGGGAGCTCCAGCGAAGGCCCCAGTGGCTGCGCTCCCATGCGCCCGCCGCACCCATTTCTGCACACCCCTCACACCAGTGGTGCGCTCCCATGCGCCCACCGCGCCCATTTCTGCACACCCCTCACACGTTTCGTGGCCCCATAGGGAGCTCCAGCGAAGGCCCCAGTGGCTGCGCTCCCATGCGCCCACCGCACCCATTTCGGCACACCCATCACACGCTTCGTGGTCCCATGGGGAGCTCCAGCGAAGGCCCCAGTGGCTGCGCTCCCATGCGCCCACCGCACCCATTTCGGCACAC